GATAATGCTGGAAGCAAGTGGTTGGTTTTGACAATGCGGTAGCTGTAACAGTCATCGCTACACAACCCGCTTACGTACAGGAGTTATCCAGTCAGAGTTGGTCAGGCTGGCTGCACGGGCAGCTCTGCCTCAGACTTCAGGAATCGCGTAAACAGATCACAGGGCTTCTCAGCAGCTCTTCAGAAAAACTTCACTCCCTCTCATGTGACTGGGTAGAAAATCCACACTCGGACCATCCCCCAGAAATAAAAAGAGATTCGGTGTCTGCAGAACAAGTAAAACCACTGCTAAGTTCATGAATTTGGGGTCCCATCACCCCTGTTCATCCTCTCTAAACCTCCTGTCATACATGCATCTGGCAGTCACTTGGATCTAGAGTCTCCTGACTTTGGGTAGATTTAGGAGCTCCTGTAGACACTGAAAATAAAACCGTGTACAACTACGAGTGCAGACTGTATCTGTCTTTCAAAAAATCTTTCCTTAGGGATTGACTGTTGTTTCATTTGTGTCTCTCCTCGTGCCTCCTCACAGATGGATGGAAGTGATCCGAAGTGCCACCAGCTCTGCCTCACGCACTCGAGCTCTGAGTCATAAAGAGCCTCACGCCTATTGACGGCTGAACAAGCCGCTGTGTTGATTGTCCAGCAGCTGCGGATTTTCTAGAGGACATTTGAAACTCTTTTCTCCCTCCAAGATTAGTAAAACTTACAATTTGGTAAATGAAAAGAAAAAAAAATAAGTATGGTTTTGCAGAAACTTTCACAATTCTTCAGCAAAACTGTTTAAGTTCTCTGTATGTTCAAACTAGCTTACCACCATCTCAGTGGCTGCAGATCGTTCCATGTCTTGTATTTTGTCATTCTGTGCTGTTTTTAGCTTGTGCCAGTATTAAAATATTGTCCTTATTAGAGTGCCAAATGCCAAAATACATTTTGTTGCCTCAAAGATTGCACCTAAAAAAAAAAAACCCGACTTCACAATCTGAAAACTTTCTCCTCTGAGGCAAACACTATTTCTTCTCTTTTCATAAAAATATATTATTTTTTTTTACCATGTTAATCTGTAGACTGCTGGATTTTTAAATGTAGATGGACCTTCACAGTATAGAATATAATTATATATACAGCAAGCAGTCTAACAGGAACGAGATAACTTTCAGATTCCATTTTTTTCCCCAGTCTTTCTACATTTAATCAACCATGAATTACTAATTTTCTATCTTTAACAAGGAAACAGTTTACAGCTCGTTCTCCTTTCCCTTTGGGGTTACAAATCCATGCGGTATAGTAAATAAAGTATAGGATTCTTATCCAACCATTTTTTTGGTGCAAGTTGACCAAACTGTTCATCTGTTGGCTTTGAAAAGTGAATACTACTTGCAAGATGAAAAATTTTTAAAATAATCCAGTGCAATATTATTTGGGCTGTTAATGTACTGTGAATGGTTATGTACAAGAAGAAATTAAAGGCTGTGGTGACATTCTGCTGTTTGTTTTACAAACTTGAAAGGAAAACCTGTACACTATTACGAGAACTGCAGCTGTTTGTGATTCATTTGTAGGTTGTTTCGGTAACTAGCCCGGACTAAACTGCTGTAAGCAGGGGGTGCAACTGAAGCCCCAGGTTTTTAATCCTGCCTGCTACACATCCAAGTGTGACTTCCAGTTTATTGCTGAATTTCAGTGTCTCCCTCTCTCCCCTGGTGCTGGGTGTACAGCCCGCAGCAGAAACACCCGTTTCATATACCTGGCGTTAATGTTCGCTAACACCAAATTCTGGACAAGCTGTTGGCCCACTCAGAAGGCTGGTGCCACGAAGTCCACTATGCTTAGATGTTTTCCTTATGTTTTAAGAAACACTTCATCGCGAGGGTGATGTAAGACTTCCATGAAGAGAAGTTCAACCTGCTGGAAACGCATCTAGCACGGTTACAGGCCTTGGAGGAAACAGCACGAGGCAGAGGGGGCCGGAGCGTAGACAGGAGAGGTGAAGCCAGGACAGTTCTACCCCCGCGTTTTCTTCATCTAGCTATTCGCTTTGTTAACGGCTTACTCGTGTGCCAGGTATAAAGTGGCTTATGGCTTTGCTCACAACAAAAGGGAATAAAATACCTCACAATACTATCAACCAGCCATAGTCCTGTTTCAAGACCGTAAAGCCGCCTTTCTATCCCCTCCCACCCCAAGCACAGATCCATCTGTAGCTCCATCCGAGAAGAGGATGGGCTCCTGGCCCCTTAGGCCAAGCAGGCGGCCCCACGGCCAAATCCGAGCCGCCCTGGCGAAGCAAGTACTTCAGCACCTACTTCAGCACCCTGCCTTCAGCTCTGTGGAAACCTGCAAACCCCCGGGCAGGTAGCTGTGTGCAGACACTCTTTTCCTTAGCTATCATCCCCCTTGAATATCAGTACTGATATAACCATCACATCTGCCCTACGGCATCACCCCACTCTGCTTGGGACATGATGAAGGACAAACTTAGAAAGTGGGTAGAAAAATCTGAAGACCTTTCTCCCAGTTGCACGTCCCACCGGCTTGCCCATTCCAAGCCCATGACAACCAACTCTGCAGGTGAATTGAACCATCTCAGTCAACCAACAAGGCACAGGAACTGGAGCGCTTCAAGGCTGACCAGGAAGGTCAACGATGATCTATTTAGTCATGAAAAGGGAAAATATAACACAGCATAGATTAAGAACAACGGATCAGGCTACAGGCCTGGAAAAAACAAAGCTGAAGAAGCAAGAGCACATGATGTTGCAGTGAAGTACGGTAAAGGGCTGCACACACCCCTCCCAAAAAATTATTACTGATCCGTAAAATAATACCTGCAAGCCTTACAAGCTCAGTCCCTACATCTGTCCTTTGCAATTACTATCTATAACAGTGAAAAAAAATTTTTTTTTTAATGGAAATTACACTGAGGACCTTAATTCAGCTGAAATTGCATTTTATTTTAGATCATGGGCTTGCTGAATACAATCTTCATTCCTGCTATCTGCTGCAGTAGTTTATTCTGAGCTTTCAAAAGAAAGGCTTTTATTTGCATTCCTGAAATAAGGTAATACCATTTCTAGTTATGTTTCATTTTCATACAAAGCTTGGAAAATAATCTTTCTGTAACATCTAAGGCAAAGATCAGGACACAGTTCTATTTATCATGACAGCAGAGCCCTAGCTAGGCTGTGGATGCAACTTCCGCATATCCACCTGATCCCTCATTCAGCATTTTCACCTTTTTTTATTATCTTCTACAGAAAAGAGGTTTAAGGTAAGATTTTTCTCCTTCTTTGCTAGTGTGATTTTTTAAATTTGTTTTTAAAATGGAACCAGTTTAACTGCTGTCATTTGTCAGCGTTTTTCTAGTTCTTTATTTCTAAGGTTACCCCAAAACTGAAATAATGGTAAGAGAATAGAAGTGACTGTCTCGATGGTCTTATCTTACAGTCAGTCACAGTCTATGTGTGTGAATAAAACTCAGAGTTTACTAGAAAGCTGTAATACAGAACCACTTATTTTTAACCCTGATTCACATCATGCTGCTGTCCATCTAATCAAGTAGAGAGCGGAGACGGGCAGAGACACCGCGTGCCAGGTTAGCGTAGCCATGACTAAATACACCTTTCTTGTGTTTCCACAGTGGAAAAACCTCCAAATGATTATTCCAAGAGATTTACTTTTCTTGTTGTTATTACATCTCCATGAATAATCAGTTGCCAGCTTCAAACAATGAACAACTAAAAGCAAAACAGGAACTTTACTGCTATAGGAAGTTGTACCACACACAATGGGACCAGCAAAGCCTGGACTCCTGGGGATTTTTTTTTCACAAGACTAAGCTTCTCCATCATTTCTCTGGTCACAACTTTCATTAAGACATGAGTATTTATTAATAAATATACCTCAAGACTACCTATTTTCACAACGTTTTAATTAAACACTTGAGACCTCGATGCCTTTGTAAATTCAGCTGAAACCAGCCAAAAATGACAGACTGAAAGATGAGTTAGCAGGTAGGGAAACACGCTGTGATTGCAGAAATCTTGACAGAAGTCCCTGACAAGAGAAACAAGGTCTCGCAAGGAAAACATGTTTTGGAGACAAAACCAAGGGCAATATCCCACCATTCCATCAGCCAAGAACAAAACGGAAACAAGTAGGACCTGAAAAGCCCAATTTTGACCATTTTTGCTTTTCATACGGGACCAGTTATGTGGTCTCCCTCCAACAAAGAAAAAAAACTAACCAGCCAAAAACCCACATAATTATGGATGTGCAGATACACAACTCCAGTCGCTAGAGCACACAAGCATCCCCCCCTCATCCCCAGGGGCACGGAAGAGTTGGTAGAGAAAAAAAATTGACAATGTGGCACAGACACATTTTTTTTTTTTACCAGGAGAAAATAGTAATGAACTATAATTACAGTAGTGCAGCTGTCACACAGTTTGTCACCGGTTAGATGGGTAATTAAGGATGCAATGTGTGGGGTGCACACGACTTGATGTGAGCACTTTATCAGTTTCAGTGAGCTGGCAGGATGGGGAATACAAAGCAGGTTTTAAATCGCTGCCATCTGTAAATTGACGCTTTGTCTTACTATAGGACAAACTGTAATATAGAACTGCACATATTTAACCAAAACAGTACACTATCAATCACTTGTATGTGCAGATAAAAAAACCTTAATCAAGGAAAGAACGAAACTTCCCACATGGTTAGGCCATCTGTGAGATAGCTACAAGCTTACTAAATTCCCCAACAGAAAAATATATTATTGACGTTCTTGCTCACAAAGTGTTGTTTGATCTTAAACAAGAATTTCCTTTCGTACAGATTGTGATATTATTACAGTTAAAAACTGAACACTGAGTTATGAACCTTCTACCTACCATTACTGACACATGAGCAATAACTGAGCTAGACACCTGCAAGAGCATCCCCTTCTGGGAGGAGACCGCCAAATCTCCTCTTACTGACCACTCAGATGGCAAAATTTCATTAAACTTTTCCTTCTTTATTTCTAGGTCATGTAGTTTACAAGGAGTTTTATTATCTTGGTGTAGAGTGACAAAAGTAAAATTTAAATACATGGTTATAAACAGGCAGCAACGTTACAGAAAACAAGATATACACTTTAATTGTCCTCTGTAATCATGCTTTAAAAGAAGGCAAAAAAACATTACATACAATTTGTCTACTGCATATGCTCAGTGCAATTACCAGCACATCTGCAAAATACAGTTAAAAAGAGCAAGCCTACAGATCTGTGCTATGCTTTAAGCTCCTCCCCAGCAACTTAGAAAAATAATTTGCGATCATACTGATCCTTGCATTATACCTGTGCTCATCAGCACTTCTGATGCTAATCTTCCAATGGTGACATTTTTGAAGGCAAAAAATACATTTCCTAAAAGTCAGGCTACTGTAAAACTATCACAAACTGGTACCACCTCGCTTCAAAAACGATACGGAACGCCGCGTAAAGTGGGAAGGGCTAAAGGAGAAATGTCCCAAGCACAGGGCAGGCCCGGGCAGCAGAGGGGTCACGGTGGGCCTGCAAGATGGCGGCGACTTGGCAGTCGAGCGCCAAGGCGCTCGCCCTCACGGCCCCCCGCCGCCCCGCTCCCGCCCGGCCGGGGCAGACCACCCCCGCTACCTCATCCCGCAGTCACCGCCTCGTCGCTCCGTCCCCGCGTGGACGTACACGGAGTGTCTGGAGCTGCAAAGGAACCGCGGCGCTTCTGAAAAAGAGCTGCTCTGGTACCACCCCAGAGGCGTTCGGTGCTACAGCGGCCCTGCTGTCATCCTTGAGTAAACTGGCGATCAACTACAAAGTGCAACTGCAAGGAAAATTAAGTTAAAAAAATAGATTATACATCTGATCGATACTTACAAAAAAACAAGCCTTCAGTTCAAATGACTGATTTTATTTTTTTTAAACAGTGAGCCCATTTACTGCCTAATCTTCAAATCCCTGACAAATAAGCAGTTCCACTAATTAAATGTTTGCATAAATAGGGATAGCTTGTCACTTAATATATTCAAAGACTGAGTAAAGAAGTACTACCTGCACAGAAAAATGGTCAGTGCAACATTGTAACACAAACACGTTTTTAGCATGAAACAACCTCTCAAAAATATCAATACACTTCTTTTCTCTTTCAGAAACGGAGGCCGTGCTTCTTTCAAACGAAGCTCTTCTGTTACCAATATAGATCTGATTTTTAAAGCATCACTACTTTTCAATAGCAAACATTTGTAATTTTACATTCAAGATACAGCACACTTTTTCAGTGAATCTCAGTTTAAGATAGTCTCTATTTAAATAATCTATATATTACATATAAAAATACACATCTCTACCATAAATGAGGTCTTGTCTTTTTCTAAATGTCCTAGCCTTAGGGCCAGTTGGCCATGCTGTAGGTCTGACTCATCTTCAGCTCATAAGCCCAGGGACACATTCACCAAGCAAATTCTGCCACAACCTACTCAGAGAACCATTTCCTCAACATACAGTCCTGGAACACAATTTAAATGCAACTCAAAAAAATATATGTATAACTTTTTAAACGGTTGTTCAAAAACAGTGTACCTTAGAACTTCATTTAATTTTCTGACTGAGAAATTCTTGAGATTCCAGCCAGCATCGTAAATTTAACTTCCCCACTAAGTCTCTGAGTTCTGTGCATCTCCAAGTAAGCTCGCTTTAATTTCAAGTCCTTACATTAACAGCTAACTGGGGAAAAGCTTCCATTATTCTACTTCTATTTCAAATGCAAACACATCTGTTTATTTCCACATGCTGTAACAGCACATATTTATTGAATGGCTGAAGGTTTTAATAGTGAGTTGTCAACAGGTAAGTTTCCCATTGTGCCGTATTCAGATGCACATTTCAGAACAGTCAAGCTAAATTTATTTCCTCAAGGGTAAGCCTTAATGTTTAAGAGCACACAAAACAACATACTTAAAGATATTAACCAAAGAGAAGTTATAAACCATTGCTCAGATTTATGCATCGTTCAATTTACCTTCAATTCACTTGGCCATAAAGGGAAACCATGACCTCGTTATGCTGGCAAACGTGTTGTGTCTTAAGAACATGGCTACAGGAGCGAGCACACGTATACCCATTTCTTTCAACTGGTGTTTCAACATGGTTGGAAGTTTCACCGCTCTGTTAGCACAACAGTGTCCTCTAACTGTTATATTATCAAATTCATAATTAAGGCTATTAATATGCATAGAATAAGGGCTACCATGGTGATATGAATTCCTCTCATAAGGAGACCTCACCAGCTTCCAGAATGGTTAGAGAACCTGGGTCTTTTGTACTAAGCCAGGCAGATATGCCTACACATTTAAAATTGTAATCCTTTGTGTTCCAAAACTCCTGTCCCTTTTTTCCTTTTTTTTTTTTTTTTTTTAAATTAAATTAAACAGCTAAGTTACCTCCCTGTCATGCAAAACAAAATCTTCCACTTCTTCATTAAAAACAAGGCAAAAATGCTTTATAGCTACCAGAATAAAAAGCACCTGAATATAGCCTTGGTGAAACAAACCATGGTAAACCTCAGAGTAATACTGTGGGAAAAAAAAAAACCACAACACCTAATCACCTGTGTATGTAACTAACATTACTATTTCCAAGAACTATAAAACCGTAAATCAGCTACCTAGGAGCGCTCACAGGAACAGTGGAAATTTCAGAATTCAGAATTTTCAAGTAATTTTTTTTCTGGAGAGACAAGCAATAGGACTGTCCTGGGCCAACGCTCAGGCTCTGTTTTGCAGTCTTTCTGTCTAATGTATATCACTTTAGGTGAAGAGATGCACAGATTTAGGCAGCGAGACCAAATACTGAATCTATGGACAATTTTTCTTTTATGCTGCAAGACATCCATTTTAATGGTAAAAATAGGCACGATGGAGAAATACTTGCCACTGTCTCAGAGCCAACGTCTTAATGAGATATTTCAGAATAAATGAAGGTAATAAAGATTTATTTGTGTGAGCATTCAAACATGTTCAGGTGAAAAAAAGATTGTACCTGAATTTCACTACAAGCTTCACAAATATCTATTACTAAAATTGAACAATACATAGGGTTCAGAATTTGCATTGGCACAATTTAAAACTGAAAATATGACAGAGCTCATTCTTTAGGAAAAACAATAATTTAAATTTAAAGCTTTGAGAGACAAGGTGTATTAAATTTAAAACAATCAGAAGTAGTACCATAATTAGAAAGTCACGCTCAGAATATAGGTAAAAAGGAAGAAATACTGGAGAAACAGAATAAAACTGTATCTTTGCTGAGGTACGAATAGAAGGTTCCATAATACAAGATTAACTCTTTCAATGGCAAATCCTTCACATACAAAAATCAAACCAAGATTCACTTTTCACATAATTCAAAATTTACATGTAATAAAGGCAAGGCAATACTCAGTTATGGCCTGTCAAATATTTACCCCACTAACATTATCTACAAAAGCACTTTACCATTTTGTACACAGTGATTCCTTATGCACGTTGAAAGGCTTTTAGTTAAAAAAGACATTATATACATATCTGTACACAATTCCAACAAACATACTCCATCTCCCAGTGGAATTCTTAAAGCAAGGTACCTGAGGTTTCTCAACATCTTCAATTTCTCTATCACAAACCTAAATATACATTTCAGATTTTATAAAAAGACACCTCCCTGGAATATGTGCATTATCATTAAAAAAAATTATAGCTTTAAGGAGCTGAAAAAGACCGCCTCCATCCCAGAGACGTCATTTTCACTCTTGCACATTTAGGAATGTCCTTTGGAGGAAGGACATTCCAGTGACTGAGGGGCAGAACAACATTAGGGCGTGCGCCTTTGATGCAGACACTGTGGGATCTCTGTTTTTCTTAGAAAAGTCAGGAACGGCACATCAGTAGGATGAAGTGCTTCCTCCAGCTAGTGAGTATCTGAAGAGGAAAAGAAATTGTTACCGTTGTGACTTTCAGAAAGGCGTTCCACAACAAGCAGCAACTAAAAGTTATTCCATTTTTGGCTCCTGAAGTTCCAGCCGTTTTCCTCGCAGAATGACACCCACCACTGCTGGCATGCTTTAAAGACAAAAAACACAGAGCGGAACAACACCCTCCGAGAACATCGCTGCTTTTCTATCAAATGGCAACATCCCGTGCTCAAGTGCGTTACTACAAAGTACATGATGATCTAAGAATTCTGTATACTGGGGGCAATATTTATTGATTCCAGCTTTCCTACGTGGCAAGTTTACATCATAATCTTTCCAAACACTACTGGGGCAGGAAACCTGTATTTCTTGGTCTAAGCAGATTCTTAAATCATCCAAAGACAGAAGCACACATTTTAATCATGTTAAGATTTCAATAAACTTTATAAAATACCAGAGATCAAAACTGGAGAGGGAAGGTAAATGGATTCACTGAAGTTATTGGACAGCTCTTCTGAAGGTCCCAACTAATTCATTCAAACAAATCGGGGAAATCCAGTTTTAACCAATCGTAAGGGGAATGAAAGCCTCATGAGAAACATTGTTGAAGAGCCACCTTCAGTAGTTAGCTATCAAATTGAGAGGATATTATAAGTGGATACAATGAACGACTTAATGATGTAACAGAGCATATTTCTTGTAGTATTCAAACAAGAAGAAACTATGTTTTCAGAAGCTGACTAGCTCCAAAAATAGCTTTATCCATCCTACTAAGCTATGGAATAGTTCAAACTCCTTTTTTGGGAGGAGGTCCTGCCATTCATTTCTTTCACTCAACATTCTGGAAGGAGTGATAGTCACGATCACATACTAGCTGAATATCATCCCTGGAATAAAAGAAAGTTCACCCAGATGTGACACATCAACAAACATTCTCTATGAATATTTCTTTCTCTCCATGAAAGAAAATGAAGTGCCCCGCTCTACTCTTGTAAGACATTATGACCAAGAAAAACAGCAATAGTCCGAGGAAGCAGAACAGAAGGAAAACAAAATGCTAAATAAGTATCTAAAGGGTTCTGAAATCTATCTTCTTGGACAGAAACGATGATTGCTACTGTTGTGACAAGGACAAGTAAGATCACCTCCAGCATCCACAGAAGAAGTGCCCAGTGGAAAGCCTGTCTCCACATGGTCATTTTCAACTACAACTGCAGCACCAAAAGGCTGCAAGGTTCCCAGTTCCAGGAAGGCCCAGTACCAGGCTGACAGATACTTGACACTGACACCTGACACTGATGAAAGACTGAGGTCTGTTTCCGAACCCCTAATGGAAACCAGCTGAGATGGAAGCTCCAGAAACTCTTTCAAGCCTGCCAGGATCAACTGAAAGGAGAATCAGGCCATCTGGCATCAAGGAGTGACCTTTTAGCAAGAGAGATGCTGACTGGGCTTCATGCTTAATAGCCCAGAAAGCAAGAAACACAACTGCTTGCAGATTTCTTGGCATTAATTTTTACTGAATGACAAAGTGCCAGCCTGGCAGTCCTCTGCTTTATCTTCAGAGGTGTGAATTCTTAAACTTTACCTAGCTGTGGTTAGAGACAGTATTAAGGAGACAGCTGCTCAGGGAGATCTTCTTCAAGGTAGCAGTCCATGATTAATCATTGCCCTGAGCCTTTTCTAGTACCAAGCAATCCAACCTGGATGATGTCTATTCACAACAGCTGTGGGCTCCTGGATTCAAGGTTGCATTTAAAGCCTCTTCAAGCAGTAATTCTGAAATTTATACCCCTGATCTTTTCTTGTGTAGCACTTAAAAGAACAGCAAATTGAGCGTTTGCTAAGAATATATTCCTAACCTAGGCAGTTAGAAAAATCTCTTAACGAAATTTAGCCTTTTGAAGTTATACACAATGTTGGGTTTGGCCATATCACCCTAAGGCCATACAGACTATCTTTAATGAATGAACAAGGAACCACTTGCTATGTGACTCAAAGAAACACAAACTAACTGAACAGTCCATTTATCAAAGTGGGTAAGAAAAATTAAGAGTGACATGGGGCATCCTCTGCAACATACAGCCAGACACTAAGAAAGTGTGAACGTCCCTTACAGGAACTGCAAAGTGAAAAGACTGTCCAGTCAAATTTGACACACAGTATGCACACCAACAGGGTGAATGTATGTACGGGCTATCAGCTGAAGCAGGAAATTAGAACTGTTGACATGATTAGGTTTTTTTCTACTAAGCAAACACAACTGTACGAATCGTAAGCACAAGTGGCTTTTTTCCTCTATTATAAATAGAGATTAATTCTTTCAATTTAACACTGGTCAAATATTTGTAGAATCAGATCTGCAATCTTCTGTAACCCTTAAGGAAATAGTTTCATTACCTCTGAAGCCTCTGCACAAGGTGTGACACCATGTTATCTGCAATGCCTGGACAAGCCTCTTCAGCTAAATAAATAGCCTTTCTCAGTTCTTCTATGGAATCTGTGTTACCACCACACACTTCGCTCTTCTCTTTCAACTGAAAGAAAACCAGGAAGACACATATTAAGAAAATATTCATAAATATTTCTGTAAACAACATAATCCAAAAGCTCGTTAGGAAGTAACCACCAGTGTTCACAATGTCAGGATTTGACTTTCATCACATACCCTCAAATCCTGAGGAATTTTTTCACCCTGAAGTTAGTCTTTGCAGTTGTTATCAGAATGTTGTTCATCTTCACAAGTCTTCAATCATTCACATATCCTTTTCAGCGTGCTCACATTCAAAAATTATGACAGAGTATCCCAAGAAAGATGTAACTGTGTGGTTTCAAGATGGGCTGCTTATACATACTGACTTCAGTATACACACTTGCACACTTATAGCTTATACATATGCACCGCAGGTGCACTTGTGCAAGTAGCATTAGAGAATGTTTTCACCCCGTCCACTCTATCAGAGTGCCCTGAGCACTCTCTCATCTGCCCCCTGAAGCCAAGGATCCCACAATTAAGCAGGAACTGAGAGCTCAGAGGGAAGATCTCAGTACTTCGCTTGTGTAGGAGCTGGTGTAACATGCAGAGTACAGCTGGTAAAAAACTTTCTTTCTCAGAACTCGCTAAAGAATGTTCAAAAATCTCAGCAGGGTCTGGGCTTCCTTGGAAGAAAGTGTCATGTTACCAGCAGTAAGGGTAAATGAAGACATGGCCTTCTTTCAGGAACTGGACTTCCCCCAGCAGGGTGGATGTCTGTATTTACAGGTTTCTCTCCACATTTATCACTACAGCTGTTGTCAAGAGCTGTTTTGCAGCATCCTCTTAAGAAGGATGGAATCAAAGTCATTTATTTGAGGAAAAAAAAACAATAAAACTAAAACTAAACTAGTGAAAAAACCACTCCGGTTAAAAGCTGACTGGGCTTACAAGTGCCTTGGATCAAAGAATGTAAGTTGCTTACACAAAACTGTGTAAGAAGAACAGTGAAATATTTTACTACATATTTCTCTACAAATTATTAAATTAATTTAAAAGTCATCTCTGAATGTTGGACCTATAGTCAGTCTGCCTTTATGCCATTACTGCCAGTAATGAAGGAAGCTTAGCTTGAACCAAGGGAAAGTTTGTGCCACTTTCTGGGCCATAATGTGGGCATGCATACACTTTTGTCTACTCAAGTATAGCACAGGGGATTGTCACATGGAATAAGCATAATGGCAGCAAGCAGCAGAAAGCAGAATAGATTGAGACAATTTTTTTTTGAGTTCAGTGTGGTACAAGACATTCTGGAGGGTTCAAGAATTGAAGTGGCCTTTCAGGACTTTCTGAAGTGGACTTTCCACAGGTGTCAGGAACTACAGCACTGAGGAATGTTTCTTCTTTAAAAAAGGAATCCAAGTCTTGCAAGGGAAAACATAAAGGAAATAATCACTGTTCTAGTTCCACATTTAGCCATGGCTTATAGGTATATTAGGGCACCTTCCTGAGAGTAACTCAGGTCTCAACAAAATGAAATCAAGTGGACTCCATATATGTGTCTGTGTGTACAACTGCTGAGGTACAACAGCAGCAGGAAGGCTTCACCACTCTTCTTTGGCTGCTGCTTCCTTTCTCTTTTCATGACATTCAGGATGCTCAAGAGCGAGATGTTGCATACAAAGCATATATAACTGGAAGACACAAATGCCTTTTCTTTTCCCAGTAATAACTCTAAGTCCAAACTGGGAAGCCACAGCTTGAGGACAAGGTGACAGAAGTAGACAATAGTGGGAACACTGCAACAAAGGACACCTCCAGATCTCCTGCTTTCAAAAAAGAACCTAGAGCGAGACCCTGCATGTGATACTCAGCCAGTGTCCTCTGATAAGGAGCAAGAAACCACATCAGGGTTGTAGCTGCTCACTGAAGATCACGTGTAACTGACAAGCATGACAACTTTGTTCATTTTCAGGGTGTGATTTGTTTTCTGTTGGTTGGGGGGGGTTGTTTTGTTTGGGGTTGGGTGTTTTGTTTGTTTCTTCTTTTATTTGCTTTGCTGAAGTGCACCAAGCTTCAGATTACTACCAGCAACACAGAGTGGCAGGGCCCCGTAGCTGAGCAAGCCTCTTCAGCCAGGGCATCTAAGCTGCAGAGTTCAACTGAAGGAGAAGGATGCAGAGCACAATCTTCCCCTGTACGATTATTTAGGAACGGCAGTTGTTTTTTATACCCATCTTCTGTGCCAAAAGCTTGGAAGCCACCGTGATGACAAAAAGCTCTGAATGGCCAGCTTTGCTCTTTTTGGAAGAGTTCCATGGAGTAACTCACTAATTTAGCTAGCAATAACTGCTGAAGGTACAGGTACCTGTGGTTTGAATGTTAAACAAATGTGGCACTGAAAATTTAAGATAAGGCTTCCTCCAGACAGCAGAGACAGTAGCCATCACCCCAAGAAAAAGGAAACTCTGCAATGAGGTTCTGGAACAGTTTGGGCAAGTTGTGGCTATCCACCAGAAGTTGCATGGAAGAGTCCGAAGTAAGAACCAAACAGCAGATACCAGACCATAAGTCTTGTCCCATAGCATGAGAAGATACAACAAACAAAATTCTTCTGTAGCCTCAACACGCTATAGAGATGAAAGGAAATGGCAGTCTTAATAAGGACAAAAAATGTTTGTGCTGCTGCAGCAGTGCTAGGGGAATCCTATACCCACAGGCATCAGCAAGTGGCAATTAAAAATATGACCTTGAAAGTGAAAATGTGAAGCAAGAAAGGCAAAGAACAACACAGCAACTAGTTAGCAATATCATGGGAGGGAAGAACCCAGAGCAGAGATATCTAGAAAACAGGTAGTAAAGGGCATGGTGGAGAGAAAATGAAAACTAAAGAAAGGATAAAAATGGAGGATGAAGCGTAGAAGACAGTGGATGCAGAACCTATATCATGCTTGGTATCGGAAAAGGAGAAGGAAGACCTAAAAGAGATGCACAGCAACCAGAAAAATGTTTGGGAGATGGAAGGGTAGGGAATTGAAAAAAAAAATCTCAGAGGCAAGCAAGTGGGTAATACACTAAGAACTGCAATGGAAAAATGACAAAAAAATCCCCATTTAAAGTGGTTTTTGACTTTACATATGAGAAAGACAGGCTGACTTAATACTGGAGTCTGCATAACCAATACAGGTCATTCACTTTAAATAAGTTTAATTGCTTTACTGCACTTAATACTCTTAATGAGCAGCATGCAAAATTTGACAATAATCCTCTGAAGAAGTACTTTATTCATTAGAACAAAATTAAGACAACATCCTTTTATTAAAACAATTTCTCTAACTTTATTTCTGTAAGTTGCAATGATTTAAATAATTATTTAAATTTTAAAATATTCATATCAAAGCTAGGGTGAGAGGGGAGGTTTCATTTCTTAGAGTTCTATCAACTTTTAAAAATAATCACATCTTCATAAATATCTGGCTTCCCCTTCATAGGATTTTTTTTTTTTAAAGGTTTTTTTTTTAAGTCTGGAAGAAACACATATAAAAAATATAAAATTCACAGTGGGAACAAAATACAGTTTTCAACACTGAAATTCAGAAGTTAAGTTCTGGCTGACCTGATCCACAGCCATATCCTGCAACAGTGAAGAACTTGAAATTTGTAACAGATAAAATGGCAGATAGAGATAAAGCAGTGTCAAAAAATGGAATGCTGCAACCCAAACATTTACATACCTTTTTGTTCTTCATGTTCATTGCTTTAGGCTAGCATGGTTGATGTTGCTACCATGCATATGAAGTATTGTTAGAAGCAAAACAAAGACATCAGAAGCAGACAGGCAAGAAAGCAAAGGGTACAGCTAAAACCATAACACATCAAGTTCCAGTGGGTTGTAGAAGCCTTAGGTGTTATTCATCATAGTTTCCTGCTTTTTCAGAGACACAAATCCTGAAATTGCTAAGTTTTAAAGCAATAACTTACCTCTGCAAATAAAGGGGATATAACTGTTGACAGGCATTGGGATAGAGGCCTCTTTGGAATATCCTTTTCCTTTAAAGAAAACAAAATTCTGACCAATTTTATTTTGGAAAAAAAAGCATCCTCATTCTATTCTGTTTCTAACTAAAGAAATAAATAGTTCCAACATGCTACACTTTGTGAAAAATCTGTTTCCGTGTATATACAAATATGCAAAATGTTCTACAACAGACTATTCCAAAGCATGCTGGAAAATGAGATGCCACAGCCTCAAATTTTAATTCAGCCCCCAAATACATGCCAGCTCAAAATAAAAAGCATTAAAACCACCAAAACAAAACAAACACCCACAATCCTATTGAACATGTACTAAATCACAGGCCTGCTGATATTTACTAGGTTTCTCCCATATGATACAATATTTTTCTTGTATTTCTCCAGTTCTGATACGAGCACGCACACACAACTTTCAGAGCCAGGGCAGCAACCACCTGTAGCCACACAGGCTGCAGAAAATACAATGGAGCAGCTCTTAAACATCCCTCACTCTTGAGCTGGGTTTGGGATTTTTTTTTTTTGGACACACACACCTTTTATTGTTTGCTACATTGTAATCTTTTTTCCTAAAAGACCAGAATGCCTTCCCCAGAACCCCAGCCTAGCTTTGTACTGTACTGATTTAAGTTTACCTTACAGAAGGATAATTTTTAAAATAAAGTATCGCCTGGACTACCTCCAATGGTAATATTTCACAAACTATAGAAATATTCTGGTACATATTTCATGAACTACAGAAAAAGGGCACTTTCACAAAATACCCAAACTTCAAGACACACTCAAAACATTTTGTGAAAGGCAACTGTAGAATACACATTTTTAGCAAAAGTTCTGAAACTTTTACAATTTAAATGCTTTTAAACGTATAAAATAAAAATCACCCCACTAAATATTAAAGCAAGAATTATCTCCTTGTATAATATAGTCAGTATTTTGAGCACCTTATTTCTCTGCAACTCCAAAAGCTGAGTCGCTCCGTTCTCTAGATTCTTGGGGTCTTTTTCTCTTATTGTAAAGATCCACTCCCCTGCATCGCTCCCACCTGAAGCCTGGCCATCTGGTTCACTTCAAGGGAGGGAAAAAAAAGAAAAAGTTCTATTATCTACACTTTATTGTCCGTGTGCATTCAATATACATGCTACACATAAAAACTACCGCCAATACCAGAATCAGGATTCTGTTGTGCAAGCCAGTAAGAATAAAGGCAAGTATGAAAAGTAACATAATTTATCTTTTGGGGAAATTAAAAAAATGAAAGCAAGATAGTTCACTAAATATCAAATCAACTTCAAAAAGAGAGAAAGGTATTACAGATTGAAAACGTTTTCCCAAGTTACATAAACAAGTAACATCAAGTGCTTTATTGCTATCTGAAAACTGGCTTTAGCAAAGTACCTCAAATCATTGGGGAAGGGGGAAAAAATTAGAACACTTAATTCACTTTTTTGCCTAGGAAAACAGCTAAGACACTAGCTTAGAATACGTTTGAGGAAGACAGTTCATCCCTGGCTCTTTAGGCAAGGTAAATTTCCCACTTGAAAAAAAAATGGCTAAAAAAGTACAGATACTACATGGCTTAAACAACATTACCACAAATCAATCTTTTGCCTCGTGTTTTGTGATGGCATGGTAGTTTTTTCTGTAACTCCTGCTAAGTTTAAACAAAAATATTTATGCAGACAGTAATCAGCCACTGCATTACATTTCTCCTCTCACTGCCATAAATATCCTTCTCTAAGTTAATTTCTTTCTGATCTGTGAATTAAAAATTATTTGTAAGAAAACCAAGGGCACCTAGTGGCCACTGTACAAAAAGTATTTATGCGGCTTACCAAGTCAAAAAGCATGTGATCAGTGTAAGAAAATTCTCCAAGATTTCTGCCTGAAGTCACACAGAACTTCTGGCTGTCACTGAACAAGGCAGGTCTACCCTCCTTGTATACACTAGCTCTAGTAAACTGATCCAACAGAAAAATCTTTATCGATTTGGGAAGTTAGTATTCCAGCATGTCAAATCAACTCACTCTTTTAGCACATCTAATACAAGGGCTGCTGTGGAAGCAGAGAAGGGGAAAGCAGGCTTAGACATGTTAAATGGTCTCAAAAGCACCCAATAACTATTCTAGTTCCACTACTCTCCTACGCCAAGCTATCAGAGCTGGGCTGGTATTCCACAGAAACAATGAACTGTAACCTCAAGGTTCAGTCAGTAACTGATCTGAGACCAGTATTAGGACTAGTAATTTACTCAGCAAATCAGACCTGGTTTTGGGGCTGGAACTGTGATCACTGAAAGGAATGAAGCCACTAAGAATGTAGGACAAATACAAAGCTGTAACGGCAGCCAAGAAATCATAACCAGCCCGATGCTTGCCATTAGCAGACAGACGGGAATTGCAGAGAATAGCTGTGTTTTCTTTATTATGAGGAACTTAATCCATTTGTGAATAAATTTTGGCAAACCCTTCATTTGATTTTCAAAAATGTGTAACCTGATGATATCCACTAATTTTAAAATTACTTTTAGACTAACGAAGTTAACTTTTTAACTGAATCATAAGTATTTGTAACTTTGTTTCCTAAGGATACCAACTCGTGAACCTATCGAACAGCTCCATCAAAATTTGACAGAGAGAAGTAAAAATTGGAAAGGAAACAAAGCTGGAAATATTTACAACACTTCTCTTTTTCAATAAATAATCTGCCATTTCATCACTATCATGCTGTAATGGCCCAACCTTCCTGGAAGGATAGAAAAAATCAATATCTCTCATTAAAAAGAATGAGGTAATATGGTTTGTACCCCAAAATCCCATTATCACAGAAGCATTGTCCACTAACTCTCTCTCAGATGCAAGGATATGCTTCTGTCTGTTTACACGGATAGTCCAAATGAGGAACAACTCGTCACCAGGGAGACAACTGCCCTCCTTAGGTGCTCATGTGCACACATAGCATGTGCACACTGCTATTTGGCCATGTGGGGTGAGGCCTGTCTTCTGCTCCCATGACAAGAGTAACAGTTGGCCTTATGTCTAGACAGGACCTCAGACCCTCCACAAAAGAGAAGGTATTATAAAATGGGTCAGAAGATTTATTCTCAGTGACTGTTATTTGCATGAAATTCCTTGCAATACTGAAATTGAGATTTCATTAGTTTACCAAGGCTGCTAAGCTGAAAAGCTTTAAGTAACAGAACACAGGAATATACGTGCTAAAAATAACTGCTTGGATCCTCTGTTTACAAAGGATATTTTACACACTCGTCAAACTTACGTATCTGAGTCATCAGAACTGGAGTCATCATGACCTTGTTCAGACTTCCATCTCTTGTGCCTATCAATAAGGTCAGTCAGGTAGGAAGTTTTCTTTGAGTTTCGTAAAATAAATTTGTGTTTTAAGAGCTCTTTTGCAGTAGGTCTCTTAAAAAAAAAAAAAATTTTTTTTACTGCATTTGACAGTGTTAAATGACTTACTATTAAAGATTTTAAAAATCCAGACTTCAGCCTTGTTACAAATGAGATTTTAAATATATACAGTATCTTTTTTTTAAAAAAAAAAAAAGAGGCTGGTGAATACATTGCCCCAGACTAGAAAAGCTGAACTGCACTTATTCATGTAACTCATGTAAACCAGTCAAGCTCTCTACTATATATTGACAAACAGGCGAAACTCACAAAGCTTGGATCCTTGTTTAAGCAGGCCTCAACAAATTCTTTGAGGGATTTACTGAAGTTTCCTTCTAGTGTTGGTGGATTGTTCTTAGGAATGAGGAACAAAACCTTCATTGGATGTAATTCTGAATGAGGTGGCTCTCCTTTTGCAAGTTCTATGGCTGTTATGCCTAATGACCAGATATCTGCCTGTAAGAAACAATGCTTTTAGGATTAGGTTGGAGAAAGAGAAGAAACAGTGTTGCTTGCTGTTGTGGTTTAACCCCAGCCGGCCACTAAGCACCACAGAGTCGCTCCCTCGCTCCCCTCACAGCAGGATGGAGGGAAGAGAATTGGAATGGTAAAAGGGAGAAAATTCGTGGGTTTAGATAAGAACAATTCAGTAATTGAAACATTATAATAATAATAATAGCGATGATGATGATGAAAAGGAAGATAACAAAAAGAGAGAAATAAAACCCAAGAAACACAAGTAATGCAAATTAGAACAACTGCTCACCACAAACTGACCAATGCCCAGACAGTCCCAGAGCAGCCCCTGGCCCACTTTCCCCCTAGTTTTATTGCTGAACATGATGCCATATGGTATGGAATATCCCTTTGGTCAGCTGGGGTCAGCTGTCCCAGCTCTGTCCCTTCCCAACTTTTTATGCACCCCATCCCACTTGCTGGTGGGGCGGTGTGAGCGGCAGAAAAGGCCTTGGCTCTGTAAGCACTTCTCAGCAATAACTGAAACGTCTATGTATTCTCAACTCTGTTTCCAGTACGAATCCAAAACATAGCCCCATGCTAGCTACTATGAAGAAAAGTAACTCTATCCCAGACAAAACCAGCATGCTTACAAAAGTAGATTTTAAACCTTTACTGTTGTCCGTCGCTAATTGGCTTGGCCCTGGCCAGAGGTGGGGCTGACTTGAGGCCAAGGGAGCTTCGAAAAGCTTCTCACAGGAGCCACTTCTGTAGCTCCCTCTCCCCCACTATCAAAAACCCACAACACGCAAACCCAACACAACGCTAAATAATTTCATATGTAAAGTGCTTTTGTTATTATGCTCTGGTTTACGTGGTTAAGGACATAAAGTAAAGTACACAGAGTTCCTTAGTTGTTTTTACAGCATAAAGCAGTTTTCAAAAATTTTTAAAACTAATGAGATCAATACTATTACATCAGCAGTTACAACTGATCTTGAAACACAGATATTTTTAAAAGGTAATGATAGAGCTGTTACAAACTAGCATTTTACCCACCATATTCAAGTACACTATGTAAATACAGTGCAGGAGTCAAATATTGGCATAAAGAAAAATGTTACAACATGCAAAAGATTTGTCTTCAACAAGCATCAGCTAGTAGAGCCATCAGAAATTTAGTACATTAGAATATAATTTTCCTGGGTTTTAACACTGTCTTATAGATCATTCTTACTCACAGACTAGAGAAATGCAGTCAAGAACAGTATTATTCAACTTTTTCAACTCAAGATTTCAACCAGTTAAGCGTTTGGTCCAAGTAGCTTCTGAAATATTAACTGCACTTTTCTACCTGATCTGCTCTATAGATCCTCTCCTGTGAGCCATGTCTTGTAGGCCAAGAAGGCCTGATCTAAATCAAACTTCTTTTAGTCATGCACATGCAAAATGCAGATCCAAAGGCTCACTGCCAAGTCAGAGGGACAAACCAAGAAATGCAACAGAGCTCAGTGCTAGATCTGCTACCATTTCATTTCATTGATGGGTAAGATTCACACTGTTACTGGATGCCATAATATACATACTGGATTTTTAGGGAAGATTTTTTAAAATATATTTGTTTCATACGTTTTCATCATCAAAATGTTCTACTATTCTTAGGAAACACCATCTCCCTAGATCCAAATCCTACTCCCAAATCTGCCTGAGGGAATGTGAAACAACGCATCGGAATTCTCTACGTTTTGCTGAAATAACAGACCTAAAAGTCAAAACAATGGATGAATAGACCCCTCAAAGGTGAAAGAAAGAAAAATTTCACAGAAAGTCTGTTCCAAAGGACAAGATACCAATTTAAAATACTATGTTTTGTTTTTCCTGTTTCTTTTGAAGTGAAAGCGGAACAAAGACTTACTCTCAGAACAATGGAAAAGATCTGGAGTTGCCTAGTTTTACTCCCAACACAGAACTTTAAATTTGGAACTTTACTACACTGTAAACAGATCTATTTCCAGGTACTGGACAGAGTAGAGATTTCCTTTATCACTGCTGTCATTACTTAGTATCCCTCTAATCCATGTGTGTCTGCTCGGTTGATATGCTAGGTTAGCTTTGACTAACTCATACAGGACTACAGGCCGATAACCACAATGTATGCATCCCTTCCTGACTGACTGCCTGACTAAAAGCAAGCTCCTCCTTCCTTGCTCAGACAGTATTCTATTCTTAAGAGCTTAGGTACTTAATTTTACAAGTAAGTATGGAAAACAAATCTGAGTCAATCAGCATACCAGCAAATTTATGAAATGATGCTTTGTTAATCCATGTTACAGAACTGCCATTTCACACTGAGCAAAGAGGATTACATAAGTATATGAGCTCTGAGTTTCATTTACCTTAATAACAGCATTATTAGCTAAGCTCTCCTCAAGTCTAACTGTGAGTAACTTCCCTCTAGCAGGAAAGCTTTTCTCAGTTATGAAAGAAAAATGTCACCTGCAAAGATGAGTCTTCTTGTTAACAACTGAGCATTATTATTTCCAATTTATTCTGAATTTCAGTTTCTTAAGAGGAACATGCTAAAGTCATGTAAATGGATAGATGTTCTTCCGTCAGACTTCCATAGATGGCGCAATTGTGTACACATATATGTACGTATAACAATCAAATTTATATGTGTATGTGTGCATGAATATCCACATGTGCACACACATACATATAAATACTTCATTCTTTTCCTCATATATTTATAAACTTTCTACTGCTAGTGACCTTCCTCCACAAAAAAAATGCATGAAACAGTCCAACAAACCACAGCTGCACATTGAACTCTTTGAAGTCCAAGATGGGTTTTGGAGACCCATTCCTCTTGAAAGTATCAGGAATAATCCCTCCAAATTCCTCTGAAACTATAGCCTCTCCTTTCACAGGTAAGAAAGGATCTCGAAACAGGGATGTAAGTGCCTGTGTATCCAACTAGAAATTTCTATGATGTGCTTGTCCATGACAATGAAACTCCAGAACAGGTACAAATCAATCCTCCAAATGGGGAGGGAGAAGCACGACCTTAAGAAGTGATGACACGGTATCATAATTTAGTTATAACTCATGTTATGATTTTAACAGTTTTAAATCTTGACCAAAAATTGTTCTTCCCAGTTCAGATGACTCGGTAAGTCGCTGGGAACTACTATTTATTGCAGTACTGCCACAAGCCTTTTCTCTTCCATTCTAACAAGTAAAATTCAGTCTGACTTTGAAGCTCTTGTAAGTCAAAGAAAACAGGCTATGTGCAAGACAAAAACATTTTTTAATTAAATATTTATTTTTTTCTATTAGAAGTTATATAACAGAAAGGACAGAGAACTAGATAAAGGAAAACTGAAGCAGATAAGAAAAGATGCTGACTTTCAGATGAAGAAAGGAAACAAAACAGGAGGAAGAAGTAAGAACTATTGTCAAACAGAAATTAGAAAGAAGCGAAAGATCCTATGGGGACATTATATCAAAGAACAAATAGCTTGGAGAGAGGGAAACAAATGGTATGGGAAAAGAAATAAAAAAGGAAAAGACATTTTAAAAATAGGTGGTAGCTTTAAGGTAAACGATTACAGTCATGTTTTGACATTTCACTATTTCTCCCCATGGCTGAGTTTCTTTAGCTGCTAGATTTTATCACCCCCTTGGATTACGTGGACTTTAAAAGTAAACTACATGGGAAAAAGAAAAATGAAGTTGAAATTTTTGCTATCAAGCATGCCTCTCAGATTACCTACTCACCACATTAAAGTTAAAATGCTATGGCTAACTTACTCTCTCTGAGAGAGTACCTGATAAACCTATGTTCTCAAATATATCAGTCTGAATTATTATTTACAGAAGTCTGACAGATACTAAAATTTAAACAGCTTCTCTGTCAAAAATCACATGCATTTTTTAGGTAATAAAGACAAGTACTGGAATGCCTTGTAACTATACCTTGCAATATATGGTCTGAGAAAGAATAATAGGGATATCTTAAGGACACAAACAGTTTGGGAATGGGACTGAATAAATCAAGAATGGAATGAGCAAATTCTGTATGGCAGCTAAGGAATACACAGCTCACGTATGCATAAAGCAGTACAAAAAAATCTCACATAACCTTGAGAGTACAGTATTGGGAACATAAATTGAGACTTGGATTCACATTGTTAAGTTTCACATATTTTAAAAGAAGAATACACAAAACATATGCATTTGTCAAATTCTAAATTAAAACAGAGTTTTTCAAAAATGCAGATTTGTTTTATCTATGAAAAAAACCTGCTCCTCTGCCTTAACAGAAGATAAAAGATATTATATACCTACATTCCCATAACATACAATTGGGAAAAAAAAATAAAGACCATATTCAAAAATCAACAACTTATGTTAAGTATTCATTACTTTTACATAATCTTAAGAGACATTAAGGTGACTGTTAAAATACTGTAAAGTAATGCGAAGACAATAAAGATAAAATACTTTTTGTTAACAGAGTGTAAGTGGTTCACACAAGGAATTTCCTCGGAATTCTGGAATCTGTGTTTGACAGAATGGTTAACTCAGAGGCGTATCTGAATTCAGAGAAAGTGTAACTATATCTTAATATTTGAAACTGCTTCAAATGAAAACAATACACTGGAATAATAGTTCTTGCATAAGTTATGTTGATAATATAGTGTAAGCCATGGTCAGGAAATTCACCAACTGCCCCTAATATTAAGACAAGTGATAATAGTGCAGAATCAACAGGAGATTTTAATCTTTACAGCAATAACTAGCAATAATAGACCTCAGGATGCATCTGCCTTCCTTTAGCCTGGTTGGTAGTTTTATGTCACAACCTTAGCACAACTATGAAAGGCAAAGCAAAACCTATTTCAGCAGTCAGCATGAACAAAGATACCAATCCAATCAGAAAAGGAGCAATAAACAATTTAACAGTTGGTGTAAGGCATACAGTAAATGAGGAAAGAAATGGATGAACTGTGTGAAAGAAGCAGGTGAACTGTGCCCAAGGTAGCATTACAGGGCACTTTCAAGCTTTTATTGGGAACTCATCAGCACGTGGGAAATAAGAGGATTCAACAGGGCAAAGAACAAAACTGGGTAACACAGCAACTACATAACAGAAATTGCTTGCATTTCAGTGGGACTATGCTATGAAGAGGACAGTTCCATCTAACACCTCTCAAGCATGGCCAGCTTATGGAAGGAAAACGAGGTTAGCTTTGGATGTCTGTCTTCTCACATCTGCATAAGACTATCTTAAAATAAACTGGCCTTCTCAAGTGGTGGTTGTGCAACAATAGCAAAACTACTGTACAATTTAGTCCAATCTCCAAGTGCCAAAAGGCTCACAGATACAAATAAGTATCTCTGATTCATTCATTGATCTCTGGCCTTCTAGGGAACTGATGAAGTATCCAAGACCTTTTCATGCCCACATGACATTGTAGACTGAAACTGCTGTAATTCAAAACCTGAGGACTGAATCATGCTTTGCCCAAGTAAAGATCATTCCCAGAAGCCAAAAATGGTTTATTCAACCTTCAAATTGGGATTTTGGGATCACTTAAGCTTCTAGAGGCTCTACAGAGCTCTGCTAGTTATTTTTAGACAGCCTCTCTACAGAAAGATATCAAATAGGGAAGGAAGTAACACTACAAACAGCCTAGGCCAGTCAGTATGCGCGAGTTCCTTTTGTGGATGAGGGTGCAAAGAAACACACTGACCTGTTTCACTCCATGGAGATGTGGCCAATCAACAAATCACTACAAGGGGATCAGCGGAGACAGGGCAAGAAAGATAAGCTCAGGGAAGCACACAGGAATGACTGCTAATTATCATAAAGAAAGCTGATCTTAACACAAGTGGGATTTGAGGATGACCTTTGTTTCGGATATACAGCTGCACCAGTGGGTCACTGGGTTGTGCAAATAGCCTTCCCTGATATAATCATCACAGCAACATCTTACTGAGCTAGCCAGACCAGCATGGGGCAAGAGGGAGGGAGAGGCAGCAAGGAGGTACATATGTAGCTTAGCCTAATATAAGTATAAAAAGCATGTAACCAACAAAAAGAACTTTTCAAAGAGCAATGGGCTTGAGCTGGCTTCAATGCACATATTCCTTCCCAGCAACTGGGGACACCCAGTGACATGCTGATGAGCATATGGAGACCAGTAATTGGACTCACATTTCTATTGTGAACTGTGTATTACAATTGATATATTGTGCTCATGTTGTGATTTCAGTTTGTTGCTGTACCGCTCTGCTAAATCAAAATCCTGTATCTACAAACACATAAATATGATATTAAACATTAAACCTTCCCTGTATGGAATATCTAAAAGAACATCGTCAGAGTGTAGCATAGACCTATGTAGCACATTCTTCCACAGATGAGTAACAGCATTTTCAAAAAACACTTCCACACCCACCAAATCCATATTCTTCAACAGTGTTGCTATTTTTTTTCTAAAAACAAGTGGAAGCATATTAACATTTTGTATGTATTTGGTCTCTTCTACTTTTAAACAATCATCAAAAATACTCATCGATAAGAGCAGGATAAAGGGTGACAGGATATACTTCTCAATATCACAATATTTCTGGACCTCTGGATGGGCTTAATACAGAAGGAAACTTAGGGTTTAGGTATAAATTATGAAAGCTTCTTTCATTGCCAACAGCTTTTAGCTGCTAAGTATTATCTAAACATGCACCTGTCTAGACACAGCCACAGTTATTAGCTACGTTCTGAAGAGCAACCTATGTAATTCAAGTTTAAAAAGGAAGGGACTTTGGTTAATGTGTTGAAATACCTTACCTTCGAATCATATGCCGACTGCTTTATTACTTCAGGTGCCATCCAAAATGGTGTTCCCACAAAGGTATTCCTCTTTATCTGTGTATCTGTTAGTTGTCCTGCTACTCCAAAATCTGCTAGTTTTACTTCTCCTTGTTCAGATAGCAATACATTAGCAGCTGGAATAAAGAAGAGGAAATAGCAGAAATTAAGACATTTGACACTGGAAGGGTATTCATTTATATCAGATGAGTTCTTCTAATGTTACAATAATACAAGTAAAAAACAATTTACCTTTAATATCTCTGTGGATTTTCTTTTCTGAATGCAAATAATCGAGTCCTTTGAGTATCTCCCTCAATATTGTAGCAATCTGGATTTCATCAAGTGAGCCAGGTTCTAACTAGGAGGCACAATAAATATTTTTATATATATGCATGGGTATAAATATATATATATATATATATATAATGGAGAAACAGAGAACAGAAATAACACTGACTATAAAAAGACTATAAAACTCTGTCACATCTCAAAATTTCCAATTTGCTAACTTTGTAACATGAAATACAATCCAGAATATTCTTTTAAAAAAATACATAGTTCTAGACTAAGCGGCCTTATGAACAGCAAGCAAAGAAATACTTAATTTATCTAAACCACTTTTTCAAGTTTGTTAAAGGCTCCATAAAGATACCGTTTCAAATCGCTGCTTTGTGGTCAGGTCATAGATATATACACTGCATTTGAAAAGCATCTGCATCATAATCTGATTATTAGGATTACACTGAATTTAGATATGCAACTCCACAGGCCCTACATGGTCCCAAATCTCAAGGTCTGAGAAAGAAATTAAGGCATATAAAGTACCACAACAATCACATATCCTATTACTATATACTACAAGGGATTCTGTGAAGCTCTCTAAAACACAACTCAAACTGCTAGGCTGACAGAGGATTCCATATTTTAAAAGTTAACTTTTTTTCATATAAAACCAAAGCTATAAATCTGCAAATTGTCAGAATTAACGATTCCAAGTAATTTAATTCTTATGAGAAGAAATAGCAGTGGTAGAAGATCTCAGAGCTCTTTAAAACGGATATAAATTCTAAAAGTGAGTATGCTACTAACTCGGAAGGGACATAGGAAAGGTCGCTACCCAGAGAGGCTTCTTAACCAATAAGGGCATGTCAAGAGAGACTGAAAGTTTGCAGACAACAATTAATATTAGAAATATTCCAGTATTCTAGTTTACTCCACAATAGCAGTCACTGAAACACAATCACTATCTCTGAAGCTGCACTCTGTGAGAAAGAGCATTTCACATAAAAATTTTCTGGATTGAGAACTGCCCCGAGGAGAAGGACTTGGGGATGTTGGTTGACAAAAGCTCAACATGACCTGGCAATGTGCACTCACAGCCCAGAAAACCAACTGCATCCTGGGCTGCATCAACAGAAGTGTGACAGCAGGTCAAGGGAGGGGATTCTCCCCCTCTATTCCGCTCTCATGAGACCCCACCTGCAGTGCTGTGTCCAGCTCTGGGGCTCCCAACAAAAGAAGGGCTTGGCCCTGCTCAAGCTGTTCCAGAAGAGGCCACGAAGATGCTCACGGAGCTGGAGCCCCTCCCCTGTGAGGCCAGGCTGAGAGTTGGGGTTGTTCAGCCTGGAGAAGAGAAGGCTCCAGGGAGACTTTATAGAAGCTTTCTAGTACTTAAAGGGGGCTACAGGAATGAAGGGGAGGGACTCTTTGTCAGGGACTGTAGCGATAGGACAAGGAGTAACAGTTTTAAACTGAAAGAGGTTAGATTCAGATTAGATATAAGGAAGAAATTCTTTACTGTGAAGGTAGTGAGACACCGGAACAGGGTGCCCAGAGCAGCTGTGGCTGCCCCCTCCCTGGAAGGGTTCAAGGCCAGGTTGGACGGGGCTGGGAGCACCCTGGGCTGGGGGAAGGCTAATAGGTAGGAACAGAGATAAGATTTCATGTAACACAGACAATGTATTTGCTTTACTTACAATTTTTTTTGGCTTTTCTTTAGCTTTGATAATACACATGATATTGCCGTTCCCTGAAATCACTAAGACATTCTCAAGGATTTGCTCCGGCTAGTCTGCGAGCACCAGTTCAAGACTTGTTAACATGATACAGCACATCTACTGGAGGAAAACCTCTTCTGTCAGATGTTAGCTCACCGTAGTGAGGAGGAAGTTAGTGAAAACATATTAAGGCTGAGAATACTAGTGCTTGTACCTCAGCCACAAACCTAAATTACACTCAAAGTTGAACAACATACATGTAATTGCATTAAATGTACTTTTTCTTGCGAGGTGTAATTTTCAAAAAAGCCAGTGCATATTCAAGTACAGAAAACACCAGGCTAACATGACATGTATATGCTTCAAACATGGAATTCAAGGTTCCCATTCTGTCTTCCCTCGCATACAGAAACGTGATAAAGTGTGCCAGTTGTCCTACCAGATTCTAGCCAAGAACCATAATGTGCATGTTAGAATTAGGAAAACATGCAGCAGCACGTAAGTTGAAAATGCATTAAACACACACAAAATGCTTAATATACACTTACATGATGATTTCAGCTCTGTGTCACAATTTCTTCAGTAACATTTAGGATGTGACCAAAGACTTTGTACTATTTCTAGGCAACAAACTTAGGGAATAAACATGTGGTCATCACACAAGTGAAATGTGTGTGATTAAAAAAAAAAAAAAAAAAAAAAGAAAAAAGAAAAGAAAATACAGTAATATCTGTTTTCTTCCTGCTCTTTTATACCTTTTTGAAGCATGAAGAAATTATTAATTTATAACAGCAAACCCAGTGTCCAATCTCTCTTCTTTTAGGAAAAAAATATCAAACAATGAACTCTTTTCAGCATATCTTTATGGGGAACATTATCCATTTCTACACAACCACGGAATGCCTTTTAAAAGGATGTGGAAACTAAAGGTATAAATGGGTCCCAAAAGGTAACTGCAATTAAAATAGAGCAGCACAACTGCAGGAAACCTGCATTTTCTACCCTCTCCTGTCTTCTGGATGTCACCAGCAGAATCCCTCTACACTGACCTTTTTCCTTTCGCTCTTTCCTCAAGCCACTGAGATCAGCGAACTATGCTACAGAGACATTCTGCCTCAATTGCTATGACAATTTTCACATACTTAAAACATTCATTTTTATTTCTATATTATTATTTTTAAAACTCACAATAAGTATAAGATGGTCTGTGATTTTGTTGGGATTTTTTTAATAGCTTAAGTGAATCCAATCACAGAAAATGTAATCTGCACTGACCCTTTTGAATTATGATTCAGAACTGGGTACTCCATCCCAGGTGCAGGATGCAGCACTTGCTCTTGTTAAATTTTATATGGTTGGTGATTGTCCTGCTCTCTAGTCTATCCAGGTCTTTCTCTAATGCTTCTCTACCCTCAAGGAAGTCCACAGCTCCTCCCATTTCTTTGAAATATACATTTTAATACCAGTCTAAATTGTGTTTCTGCCTATGTAGACTTCAATGAGACTCCAAACAGGGAAACTTTCGTTCATTTGTTGGGGGGTGGGGGGGGCACATATTAAAATGTATACATTAGGAGGAGTTGTGGTGGCAGAATTAAGAGACAGAAAAAAATCTATTTTCAGTCACTAGTGCTCTCTGGCTGACTGAAGATTAGCATTCCAAGAAGTGTATATTCTGCTTCAGATATTATGTTGCTTAGTTCCCTTCCATTTATACAAATAATAATTCTTGCCTCATGGAAAATAACATTTTCCTGGCATTGACAAATACTTTTCTCCTTTACTGGAAGCAAACATTGTCATAGCCAAATGACATATTATAGTTTCCAGAATTATAAATTGGGAAAATAATTATGTGAGGTAAAATAAGAAAAATCATACATAATTTACTTACTAGATCAAGGGCAGAGCCTCCACCCAGATATTCCATTATTATCCATAATTTTGTATCCTGTAAAACAAAAGCAACAGAAAAAATGTTTTAAGTTTAAAAAAATAATAAACCAGTTATTAAGTTAATTGTACTTGTTCCATTCTTTTTGCTGAAGAAAGAACCTACACTTTTGAAATAACACTAACTTTTAAATTCTGTTTCTCTTAATTAACAAGAGGGAAACTACTTCACATTTACCAGTGGGTATGAGCACAGACATTGCAGGTTCATTACATCCAAATAATTGATGCATACTCTTAATGTCACACTCAAGCTCATGTAATGGTACCTCTTTTGTACTAATACTACTAGAATATAGACAGTATCCAGGGAAGAATAAACTTCTCTTTAATCCCTACCAAAAAGTCAAGTAGCAGGAAACCTCTTCATGCTGACTAGAACTGGACAAGTATTCTGAGCCTGAGTTCACCAGCATATTAACTCCCAAAAGGCACCCACCTCTTGTTCTTGTCACACGCCCAAATAGTACATTTTGCAAAAGTGTCTTCTGAGACAAGAAAGAGACAGACAGGGGCCACTCAGGGAAAATGGAGGAGAAAGAACTTACATTTTAGAACTCTGATTATGACATTCAGAATACCAAATAATAATTACATTACATAAAATTAATTTCCTTTCCTTAGAAAACAATGTCCTTATTTGTAGAGAGACTCCAAAATATCTTCTTTAATAAGCCTGACTCCTGTCTAGGTTGAATTTAATTTAAAATTTATTCTTTACATCTCTCCATTGTTTCATTTTCTTGAACAGTCATCTGTCTCTGACCTAACTGGCGAGTCTTCTCCACTAATGCTTATGCATCTGATATATGGTATAGAATTTTGGACAACTGTGTTCAAGAAAGACGAAGCAAATGAGTAATAAAGATTATTTATGATGACTACAGCAATTTGCTAGCTTTAGCTAGTAAAATAAAAGCTAACAAAAAAAGTAAAAATCAAGCTACTATACTCTTAAGGGAAACCTTGATACGTATTATAGAAATGTTTAACACAAGATATACAATACACAATGCTAAGAAAAAGACTGGACCCATTTTTTTTCTGCTGTTTACAGCATCTTATTCCCAAATACACTAAGAGAAGTAGTTAGTCCACCTTTTCCTTGCAGTACCAATCTTTAAGCATGTTTTAAAGCAAGGTCATAAATCTACCACAGACACAATCAAATTAAATTGTTGCATGGAACATATGGTGAGTTTTGTTTTAGTTTTTATGATTATCAAATTATATTATGGTTTGTTAGTTTTAACTCTGTGTACCAAACATTCACAAGACTTCTAGCATAAAAATGCTGGGGTCTCTCACAGCAAGGAGCACATAAATAGCAATAATATTCATTTACTTTATCCTGCAAAATAAAATTTGATGTAAAAATAACAGCTCACAGCCAGGGCAGGTAAGACTCTGAACGCTCACTTATAAAGATGGATTAAAACTTTTAGAAAAGTGATAAATGTATTGCAGAACATAACTTTTGCTAAATCCCTGGAGCGATTAGAAAATTTTAGCCGTTAGTACTCACTTAAGCCTTTTAGTCATTATTACAGCTGTAGTTCCTTCCATATCTGTCCCCCCTCTGGTCTCAGTAATGAACCTTCTGTAGGTAAATGCACACAGCCCTTCCCACCTACCTTCAGTTTACATACATTGCACTATATTTAGGTAGGAGCCTGGATTAGAGTTCCTTCATCATCAGCTGTTTTTAACACACCGATCCAGCTGAATTTAGATACCTATCTTCAGCAGTCAACTAATATTATTTGACGAACACAGACTTGTTAACAATATTTTAAAAGAGAATGGAATACATTTCTTAGGGAGAAAATGTACTTCTAAAATATAATCTTAGTATCCACATTCTCCATTTTGATAATGCTTACTTTCTGCAAGCACCACAGATATTCCAAGAAATACTGTTCATCCTGAGAAAGTCCCTTATAGTACTGAAATATTTATTTTGCTGCTAAGACTTTCAGATTTTGCCTGTCCCCATAAGGCTCTAGGTCCCAACAGCTCGAGAACAAGTATGCTTCAGAGGTATGTCTTATAGTAAGTCATTTAATGTCCAGTAATCTCCCTAAACTTGATCAAAATTTTATATATGTATTTTGCTTCAGTCTGATAACCTATCTTTTAAAGCTGCATGAAATTCCCTGAATATTAAACTTCTGTGTGCCTGTAAAACTTACATTTAGTTTTCATGGTTATTTAAACACAACACACATCAACTGTATCACTATTTTTTATTTCAGTGGAATTGCCTGGGTGGGAAAGAACAAGATAGGGCAAACAAACTCCATAATCCTCTCAAAAATAGAAAAAAAAACAAACAAAACCAAACAAACATCCAAGGAGACAACAAGAGATGTATCTTCCCTCTTCTATCATCTCGATTACCTTGTGGATTTAAAGAGCTAACAACTTGAAATAAGGTACAATTTCCCAGAAGAAAAATTCTCCATAAAAATTAGCTTCTAAATCCTACAGCTGAAAATTAGAAATTAGCACTAGCATAAAATAACTAAATAAAACCTGTTGTTTAAGAATATAATTACATAGTTACACAATCATGTAACACAATTAAACAGTCTTGTAAAATCATCATTTATCCTTTTCAATTCTTTTCCCACTTTGTTCAGTCTTTGCTCCTGAAACTTTCATCATGATTGCCTTGGGGCCACATGTCTGAATTTGCAAGATAAAAGCCAGGGATCCAGTAAGCTCAGTAATACTACACTTTAAAACAAGTATGGAAATGCAGTTGGGGAACACACACAGAACTGTATTTGTATCACAGTCTGAAGCTACGCAATAGTAGTCTATTACAATTATAGCATCTTTTTATCTATATAGCCCTAGATTCAAAGAGATTTTTAATTCCCTATGGTTCCCCCTCTCCCTTGCCACAGAAATATTACTCAATTTCATGGATGTTTTGGGTGGTTTTTTTTTTTAAGTTTTCATCATTCACATGAAGTATCTGAACAGATGTAACTACTATTGTAGTGAAACTTACTATCACCTTTAACTAAATTTGTCTGGACTTCTTTGTGGTTTTTTGGGGTTTTTTTTGTTTGTTTTTTTTGTTTGTTTTTTGTTTTTTTTTTTTTTTTAGTTTTAGATTTAAAATCTGCATGCATTGCTTAACAAGAAAACGCAAATAACTGCTTTTGGTGAGACAGTTTTAATGAATTCCTTAATATATATTATAGCTTAAAGTCAGTAACCTACATATACTTACTTTATGCCTTGTAACAACAGCACAAGGCAAACAGAGCACTACTATCCGTTGACTTAGGCACCAGCAGAACAACATGCCTCCTCCTTTCCTTCCTTTCCAGAGTATCTCTGGCATGCTTCACATTCCCTAACACCTACTGTCATTTTCCTCTTTAAAGCTGCCCAAATTCTTTTTTTTCTTTGGCTTGTACTTCTCACATTCTTCAGTGTATATACCCCACTTTTCCTCTCAAACAGAACACCAAAAGCACTATATTTTCTTCTACAGCCTAGATTAGTAATTATATATTACACATAATCATTTACATTTTCAAGAAGATACTATGCTTATATACCGAGAAAAGCAACATTCACTGCTCTATTTTAAGATCTGAAATAAAACCAGTTTTCTTCTTCTAAGCATCAGTCACAACACAGCAGTGAATTTGCTTCCAAATACAGCGGAGACATGGTGAGTCAGCAATCCAAATTTAGGATTATTATTTCTCTATAAACAGAGTTGAGGACATTAATGAGGGCACATGGAACAGTTCCTTTTTCACAGTAGGAACAAGAGGTTTTCCTCTGATGCCATGAAGTTGAGAAAAGGAACAGCTCTGGAATCTAAAAGAAGCTCTTATAGAAAGGCAGAGTTTCTATAAATTCTTTCCAAACTAGTTTGCTGCTCTTGAGGTCTGACTTCTGATTTTAACTCTGGAACCACGCAAAAACCTTACAATAGCAGCTTTACCTCTAAGTATTCTCTGTTAAATCACTGTTACACCCTTAAAGTATTTGTAAAGTAAGTACAGTACAGCAGATAAACAACTTCTCCTAATATGTAAAAGTCAAGGACTATACACTGAAAAAGGGCATCCACCAGAAAACTCCTCTACAGTCTCAGAAGAACATTGCAACTGAAAGGAGTATAGAAAACATATGCAGAGTAATCAAAACTAAAATGTTCGGGTTTAAGTCCATACAAAGTTAATAAAACATCTGAATAAACATGGCAAGGCCTATCTTTAGAGATGTGGTTTTTTGTTTTTTTGGGGGGTTTTTGTTTTTTTTTTACAAGAACATACTCGCTCATTTCTTAGCACTATGATATCATACAAGAGAGACCAACCTAAAGCAATCAAGCCACAGTATGTATTGATGAAAATGTTTCTAAATCACCTTTCTTGAGGGAAGGACAGGTTGCAGAGGAAAAAGTAACAGAACCACAAAAGAGAAGGACTTGAAGGACTTGCAAGTAAGAGCATCAAGTAACCTATACAGTAATTTGAAATTTAATTAAAAGTCTTAAATCCAGGAAGTCAACAAATACAATCTGAAAACAGTAGTACAACAGTGAGCATGTTTGTCTCTAAGTGAAATAAAATGCCTCCCTCTATCTTGAGAAAAAATTTCCCACCTTAAATTTACTGCGAGAAAGGGTATTTCCCACCTTAAATTCATGGTACACAATTAGCAGCAGCATAGAGGGTATTTATAAATACATATAAAAGCCTTATTTAGTTCTAGAGACTAGCCATCTCCAAATTCCATTTAGAATCTATAATAACAAGCACTTTAACTTATTTCAACACTCATGAGCTATAAATTACATACTTGATTGAAATAATGCAACAGATTCACTAATAAAAATAAGAACTAGCTTAAGTTGATCTATATACTAAAAGTTTTACCATCGCTGGGTTACCAGAAAAATCTACAGTATTGAAAAACAGAAACAGAATACCTCAGACAGAACCCCAATTAATCTAAAAAGAA